AAATCTGCAATTGCATCGTCAATTGGAGCCATAGTTGTTGAGTTATAGCGCGTTGAAGTTATGACGCTGAGACGCGCGTTTGGTGTTCGGCGTGCACGAGATGAATCCGTGCATGAGGTGCACGGACACGGTATCCGTTCCGGGGCGAACGTTGGTCCCTAGCTCGCCGGAGCCGGAAGCAATTCACCCGCGGGGTTGCAGGTTGCAGGTTGCGGCTAAGGGCAAATGCTCCGTCCCGTCCCTATGCTTCACTACTAGATCGGAAATACTCAGAATGTAGATATATATCATGGTCTTGTACAGATGGCTGGTTATTGCACCCTCTTGCTTATATACACTGCTCCATCTTGTCTTGGCCGCACCGTCCTCAAGTTGACGTCCCACCATAAAAGTCATGGCCCTTCCCACACACTTCACCCTCAATACCGGTGCACAAATACCCGCTCTTGGCTTTGGCACATGGCAAGCCAAGCCTGGTGAGGTGGAGCAGGCGGTGGAAACAGCGCTCAAGGCAGGCTATCGCCACGTCGACTGCGCGGCCATCTACCGCAACGAAGTAGAGGTAGGTCATGGCATTCAACAAAGTGGCGTCCCACGCTCGGAAATCTTCATAACTGGGAAGCTGTGGAACACCAAGCACGCACCAGAAGATGTCGAGGCAGCGCTGGATCAGTCGCTCCGGGATCTTGGTGTTGAATACCTTGACTTGTTCCTTATGCACTGGCCCGTGTATGTATAGCTTCTTTCATAAATTCACGACGCATACTTATGAACTTCTAGTGCCTTCAACGGCAAGCAGGGCAAGTGGTTCCCCTTGCGTGACGATGGCGTCTTCGACCTCGTAGACATTGACCCAGCCACCACCTACAAGGCTATGGAAAAACTACTCAATACTGGCAAAGTCCGTGCAATCGGCGTCTCAAACTTTACCGTCAACCGCTTAAGAGATCTCTTGTCTAGAACCGATGTTGTTCCGTCTGTCAATCAAATCGAGGCACACCCCTACCTTCAACAACCCACTCTCTTGGACTTCTGCAAAGAGAAAGGAATCCTTGTTGAAGCATACTCTCCTTTGGGCAACAACCAGACAGGCGAGCCGCGGACTATGGATGATGAGCTTGTCGGTGTATTGAGTCGCAGATTAGGCATGGACCGTGGACAGCTCCTCGCTAGCTGGGGCATCCAGCGCGGCACCGTGGTGCTGCCGAAGAGCGTCACGCCGAGCCGCATCAAAAGCAACAGACAGGTAAAGGCATTACCAAAGGACGCATTTGAAGAACTCAGTAGATTGGAGAGGCACAAACGATTTAACGTGCAGTCACGGTGGGGGTTCGATATCTTTGAGGAACTTGGCGATGAGGAGGTGAAGAAGATTGCTCAAGGGTTTGCAAAGGAAAATCGAGAAAAGTTCACTATCTAGGCAATATAGACCACGGGAAATGATAAATTCATAAGGATTGAATTTGCATTTATCATGCAAGGCGGGAGTCTTTGAAAGAGAGAAGTAAAGTATGTGGCCAGAAGCTAAGTTGAGCTAATCTCGATTTTTAGAAGTGTATGAGCTGATTCTTACGCACTAATCATGATAAATGAAGTAAACTAATATGTGTAGTATTATCTACCACGACAGTACTTTATCTTTTATAGGAGCCCTCTGTTGAGCTATGAAGAGAATAAGAAGCATTTGTATCGAATAAGAAAAGCTAGTAACTAAGTCCAATTCAGAGTCCACCTTAGCAATACTGTTGAGCATCATAGCTTAGATAGACATTGTCGGCCCTGCAGGATGGGTCTGCGCCTTGGATATAAAACGGTCTTGCTAGTATTACACCAGCGATAAGAAGGCAATTTTTGTGCAATGTAATAATTACTATCGACATCGATATCGCGCGAGGGTTGACGAACGATCGTTTGACTGTCTGGGGTGAGGTTCTCACAGTTGATCTGATCTTGCTTGCCATCGGCAGTGGAAGTGCTGGTCCACTCATCGATACGTGAGATCTGGAAACATTATCAAGAGGGGTATGATATTCTTCTACGTAGTCTATATTAAATACTTATGTAAGATATACTACAACCATCTCTTCTTGTGCGGGACAACGAGAAATGCCCGGCTATAGCATCGAAGCGGTAGTCGCGTGCTTCACTCTTGGATGGAGTGTCGATAGCTAGGTAAATGACTTCTGCTGTTCGACGCTGTGCGAGATACGCAGCACGCCTTCAGTACGTCCAAAGCCAAGTTTCTACATGTACTCCATTTTTCTCAGAGATGCTGCATTTCTAAGCGGGACTATTGAATTGAGAACGTGGCAGAGCTGCTCAACACGTTCGCATCTCCTAATAATGTCTTTCTGCTTTAATGACCAAGAGAATGCATTGAGCGCGCTTTCAGCATGGCTGTTGCTTGCACTCTAGCACTGACGTATCTGTACTTGCACCGAGAACAAGGTCTGTTAGTAGTCCCGGAGAAGATAGGTCTGAAGGTGAACCTCTAACTGAAAGTATCGTGACAGAGCTGGCGTAGCGCGAAAATTTATGCGCCCTCGCGATGCTGTGGCCGCACGGACTGAGGATGAGGCATGATGACTTTGGTCCGGACTGAATCGCAAAAAGGATATTGTCTTCAACCACTGCTTTTGTCTCTGTAAGACGTAGCGTTCAGTCAACAATAAACTAAAGGCCAACTACTCGAGCGCCTTCGTAGGCGGTCAATGACAATACCGTGGCTGTGGCCTTTCCGTTCCGGGTTCTAGACCCCTGGTCGACGCCAGCCACATCAAAGCCACATCACAGAGTGCTACTCCTATGGAAATATTTTGTTGCTGCAAACATGTTATCTGTGATGTAATCGCTTTCGAAATCAGTCTAAACTCATAGTCAAGAAAACATGTGGATGCTGAGCGATTCCCGACTTTGACGGTAGATTCACGCGTGTTGGTCTGGTCAACAGCGGACCCTCAGAGGACGCCAAGCTCAATGCACGTGGCGCCACTCCCAGCACCAATCAGCTATGCCATTAACGTCTCAGAAGTGTACCGAGATAAATGGTCCCTGAATTGTGGAACAACGAGTAAGTACACACTTAGCAACATAAAAACAGAGAAGCTGTCCATATTCGTTCTTCTCCTGCAAAACTTTCCCTTGTTGAATTGCGAGCAAAGTTGCCCCAGCATGCCTTCGTTGTTACCATCCTCCTCCTCCTCCTCTTCGTCGCATGAGGACCTATATAGTGGCATCAACGCTGCAAAACTAGAATCAGCCAACCGCTATATTCGTTGGAATCTTTTGTTTCTCTTAACGATCTTCATCTTTCTTCTTTTCCCATTATGGATGCCTTTTGTCCCCTACGTCAACCAAGTAACAAACCTCATCGTCATAATCATAATCGGCTTTTTCCAAGTCATCTGGCTGATAGCCACTATTTGCGCCATTCGAAGAACACTAGCCATCAACAACCGAAACAAGCTCAAGAACAAAAAAGCTCAAGATGCCGAATCAGCTGATGCCACGGCCAAAAATACCTCAGCAGTTCGTCATATAGTCGCCATGACATTGTACAAGGAGCCCATGAGCGTACTTCAAACTACTTTGGACTCTCTTGTGCTGCAAAAAGATGCCAAATCCCAGCTATCCGTCATTATTGGCATGGAATGTCGCACACCTGATAAGGAAGCTAAATACAATGAAATATACGCAAAGTACAAGTGTAAATTCCTCCGTCTCATCGTCACCTTCCACCCCTCGGGCATTCCCGGCGAGATTAGCGGCAAGTGCTCCAACATGAACTACGCCTGTCGCCAAGGTCTGCATGTCCTCCGTCATGATGCCGAATATAACTATGAGAAATACGAACACATTTTTACCAACTGCGACTGCGACTCCGTTTTCGACCCCGAATACATGCTGGAGTTGGAAACCCAGTACTGCAAGCTGGATCTCGCCGACCGCCACTCCTCCATTTGGCAATCCATCATCATCTACAAGCGCGACTCCATGCCTTTTTTTGTCGACATCACCGGTGTTCTGCGTACCTTCTTCTTCATGGGTGTTTTGATTCCATGGAACATCAATCCCATGTCTCATTACTCTCTCAGCGTCAAGTTATTAGAGGAGGGTGCCTTTACCCACCCATCTTATCAGATGGAAGACATCATTGCCTTGATCCGTTACACCATCATGACACAACGAGAAATTCGCATCCTGCCATTGAACCTCATTTCAATCAACGGTCCGACTTCTGGCGCCAACTACGGTGATGAAATTCGCGAATGGGCCCTTCAAATTCGCCGATGGACTATTGGCGCTGGTGAAGTCTTCCACTACTTCATTGTCAAGACGTACCGAATTCCTGGGATCTATTTATTTATCAGCTGGGCTACTCGCTTCTTCATCTACTATGGTCTTATTCTCTGCGCCAGTGCCATTTTCTCTGTGGCTTCCCCTATCATTATTCAGCTCGTCAATACAGTTGCTGTCCAACATGATCGACTGGTCGTCAGCGACTCTCTTTTTTCGAAAGTCTGCTTGACCCTCTTAGGAACACAATACATATTTCTATTAATTGCCACTGTCCTCGTTCGTTGGAACCTACCTGTGCCCGACGATAGTGACAATCACTACAACAAGGGTGTTCGGGGGATAACAAGGGGCTTGTTACATTGAATGTTGATGTTGCCAACTATTCTTGCGTACAGCTTGGTAGAGCTCTATTCATTCTTCGAATTGGCCTTTAGAGGGAAGGATGTTTGCAAGCACAATGCTGCTAGTAAGAACAATCTGGTCATCATAAAAAGCGGCAGAGATTGTTGAGATCTCTCTGTGTGCCCCCCTGTAGTAGGCAATAAAAGAAAACTGAAGAGAAACTGGCATGGACCAAGGAAAGTTCCTAACAAGATAGTAATACTGAACACTGTGGTTCGCGAGTGATTTAATAATTTCCCTGCGCCATCCCATCTTCGCAACAAAACTGCGAAGCACCACCCCAATTTTTTTTCTGATTAATCAGACTGCACTATAATTTTCTTAACGTTTCGCTATTTTCTGTTCCGTGAATTTCTACTTAGCAGGTGCGATAACCATGTCCAACTTAGCCGTAACGTCTGTAGCACCGTCCACTTTACACTTTCTTCGCAAGCGTTACACCGTGTCTCTAATAACCACCCTCTGCCTTATCGATCTGGCCAGCTACCTAGCTAACTATCTGTAACACCTCTCCTTGTGTGTAGCACTGCTTGCGAGTTTTGATTCGCATCACTACTTCTTTAATCGTAGCATCAAAGCGATAAAACATTTCTCGCATTAACACCATCTCGTAAGCGATTAACTAGACCACTTTACTAAGTTGCTGCACCTATCAGCTGAGAGGACTTCAACGAGATCCTTGTTGAGTTTCCAACTGGTTCCGAATAAACGTAGCCTACGCCTCTATTTCGCGCATTGCACAGCGCTTTTGGGTCCAAGGCGGTGCCTCCTTGCGCTAGTAGAGTTGGCGTACGCAACACGACGTTAAACAGGACTAGCGCAGAGTCAGACTGATCCTGTGGCGGTTAATGGGATATTAGGCTAGTCTTTCTTCCGCATCTTATTATTAGCATTACCTCGCCAAGCTACTATTTACTAGCCAGTCATACCTGGGAATCTGAAAAATGGGTTTGGATAATATTCTCGATTCGTAGAGCCCCACGCAGTATTTCGCTACTTTAAGATTGCGGCTTTTCAGGACCGTGGCGCAGGTCGCAATTAAACTGAGGTAGGAGACAATGGCAAGGAGAGATCAATTGATTTTTTGTCAATCCTGGTGTTATATATTATTCTTACAGATATGTGAACATTGCTTCGTCAAAGATGCGCATGGGCGGAGTAGCTTCGAGATCACATGAGCGTCCACGCGGAGTCAACCGAGGCTAAAAGTCCTTTTCCCTCAAACCCTTCAAACAACAACCTGTCACTCGCTTACACGTCACATTCCTCGGATGATGACCGAGGCTGCTTAACTTCTTTCGAATACGAGATGATGGAAGCTCAAGAAGTCAACCGGTCACGTGTCATGGTGGCAATGTCGAGCCCCAGCGCGAAACGCGGCTCGGTCCCAAAGAAGAGCGCTTTTTCATGTGACGTCTGTCGCAAGCGGAAGGTTTGCAAACCTTGATGATATACGTCGGGTCCAGATCAATTGATCATAAGATTAGGTTAAGTGTGATGGTGGGCATCCCGTTTGTAACAGGTGTAGGATCCGTGGCGACGTGTGTATTTACAAGCTGTAAGATGAACAAGAAGTCTTGATTGTCCCGACTTTTAGATTGACGCCTTCTAGTTCTCCGAGTTTGTCGTATACGCAGCGGTTAGAGCAAAGAGTTGCAGAACTCGAGGCTTTGCTTGCAGGCTCCAAAGCTGCGTCAAGCGACTCTCCGCCCGACCATGTTTCAGAAATACCATCTCTCACATCGGGTGTCCTTCCATATCCCGTGATAGCGAGAGCTACTGAGTCTTTGAGGGTTGAAGAAGATGCAGGAGTGTCGTTCCCTGAGTCCACGAGCCTTTTCCAGCTTCCTAGTAGTATCCGGACACACCACATAGGTCAGGACCAATTGGATCAAGAGATGACTGTTAAGAAGCAGAGCTTGATCAACAATGCATGGCGCGAGAGAGCGTTTGAAAAGCTTGCGGATACGCCTGTTCGTTATCCGTAGATCTTGCTAGGTATGGCAGCTGAGTAAATTTGTATAGGAGCCCTATCGATCTCTCATAGATTCTCATTTCTGCTGGATCCAGCCACTCTTCAATTTCATTTACCGGCCTGCCTTCACACGTAAGAGCTTTCTTCGACTCATAGTATTTTCAGTTGACAGTTTTCCATAGGCGATATGAAGACTGGTGGACCTTACTTCTCACAGGCACTACTAAATGCCGTGCTCTCACATTCGGTCCGATGGTGTCGTGGCGAGTCGGGTATGGAACAATTACTCGCCCCTTTTGACGCTGGAGCAGCTTTCTCCAAATGGGCAGTTGAAGATCTTTTCAGAGATATTCAACATGGAAACAGCAAAATCCCTACCGTTCAAGCTCTTCTATTACTTAGCGCTCAACAATGCGGTTGTGGTAACCGTACTCAAGCTTGGCTATACAGTGGCATGGCATTCCGACTGATCGACGATATAGGTATCTGCGTCGACGGTAAGCGATACGCAGATGTAGGGCATTTTTCCACTGAAGATATTGAAGTGCGCAATCGCTTGTTCTGGAGTTGTTACTTCTGGGACAAGCTCATATCCCTGTACTTTGGCCGGGCTCCCATGATTCAAAATTCCGAGATCAGTCCACCACGAGTGCTAAGTACAACATGGATTCTGCTCACACGATTTTTTCCTGACTATGACAGTGGATGACACAGCGGAAATTGAACCCTGGGTCCCCCATGGGCTCCCTTCTGTCAGCTATCGACCAAGACAGGCTCATTCAATCTCGTGTTTCATCCAGATGTGTAGTCTGGCAGAAATCTTGAACCAGATATTGATACATTTATACAATCCTTCCCACGAGCTTCCCCCCAGTAATGCATACCAATGTGCAATCTTGGAAGGCTCCAAATTGCAAGATTGGTGGCGAGATCTTCCCGAACATCTAAAGATCAATCTTGCGGAGATGCAGTCAGATTGTCCGCCCAGCCACATTGTTACCCTCAAGTGAGTGCTCCTCGATCTTTTCTACAGGCATAAAAAACTAACCAGCAACATCTGTCTCTATCATACGATAAACATTTTACTGAATCGCGCAAAACTTAAATTGAGCAGGGAGTCTGGCTTGGCGAGCGCCATGGCTGATCGTAACCCGCTGATTCATTGCGTGTCATCTGCGACATCCATCATTGCATTGTATAGTTTGTACAAGCGCGCTTTTGGTGAAGGTCATATTATCCTGAGCCTGGCGTACAGTGTCTACACCGCGGCTTCAATATTCTTGTTAGAACTCCAGGCGATCGGCCACAGCGCACCAAATACACTTGAAAGACTCAATTTCTGCATAGATGCCTTGGGGCGTCTGAGGGAGACAAACCCAGGCAAGTAAGATTACCCAGATCAAAAATATCCACTAATTATCTTGCCAGTCATTGATACAGCCTTAAGCAACATATCGAAGGAACTCGGAGCACTTGGAATCCAAACGGCATCTTTGGAAACTGTCGTCCCAACTATCGGCGCGACAGAACCGACCGCCAATAATCCTCTCCTGCCTTTACCCATGGATATATACTATCCGTCTACATCCGCAAATGACATGCCTGGAAGTGTTGGGCAGAACGATGAACCCATACTGTTAGATCTTTCGTACTTCAATGGACAGATAGATGGAACTGGAACGTATAATCTGTTGGACATGTCCCAGGAGATGTATGGGGCCTTCCTCCAAATTGAGCCTCTTAGCGTCACGATGAACCCGGAATTTGAAATTCATTGACCGCCAGTGCGAAAAGGCGTTGCAAGAAGATACACTCTGACTATGTTGAAGTTATTTCATATTTCTCACTTGAATGCGTATTGGTTTGTCATCAAGTCACTCACTCGGCACGTTTGCAACTGGCACGCGGAGAAAATTATCCTACAGTAGGCGTCACTTCGATATCGCATGTTTGGATACTCACAAAAGGCAACGGCGCGATGTAGTGCACGGGATATTCTCAATGAAAATAGGTCATGTGATTCATTGAAAGAAGTATATCAAGCGTTAATCTCCTTGTGCTCAACCGAAACCTTCTCGACATCCTTTCTCTCACATATGGCGTTCCCTAGGTATACAAGCTTGGCTGCCCCGGACTTGTACCAGGGCTTTTCAAACAGCTCGTGCATGCGCTCCAGTGGTACCCCTTTGGTCTCTGGTGCCCACAGCCTCAAAATAACTAGACCGATCGCGCAAATTGAAGCCCAGAAGGTATACGCTCCCCATTTATTCAAGGCAGACAACATGACTGGGGTCACTCGTACTACAGCGAACTGCCAGAACCAGTGCAGTCCCATGGTTGTGGCATATCCAAAACTACGTACCTTTGTTGGGAAGATCTCAGAACAATAGATGTACGGAATTGTGCAAAGCCCGAGCGACCAGCCGATGGCATAGATGAACACGCAGGCGATAGCGGCATCAGACGCGTGCTTATTCCCCTGGCCAATGGCCCCAAAATAGATGGCCATGTAAATGTGGGTTACGCCCTGTAAGATGAGTCCCGCAGTGAAACAGCGTCTTCGCCCAAGCTTGTCAATCAAGCCCCAGGCAAAGATCATTGTGACGACCAGCTTGACTATGCCATAAGCGCCCGAGGTGATTAAAGATGTCTGAGGTCCTTTGACACCTGCGTACTGGAAAATGTCGCTGATGTAATACGTAATACCATTTCCTCCAGTCCATTGTGCAATAGTATGCATTGAAACGGCGAGGAGATACCGACTACGCAGGTCCGAATCGGCCAAACACTCTTTAGCAGTCTCTAGCAAAGATAGGCTCTTCATCTCCACCAGCGTATTGGCCTCGATCTGGACTCTTTCGTATTCCGCAATCAACTCTGCACTACCCTCCGGCAATCCGCGAAATCGAGCTAGAGCAACGAGACACTCCTCATTGGCGCCTTTGGTGGCGAGCCAGCGGGGGCTTTCGGGGATGAGGAATGAGCTGACGAAGGCAAAACCCATAGGAACGAGTGGAATTCCCTGGACGATCTGCCATTGCGACCTGGAGGTACTCATTGTCTTGCTCACAACATAGTTGATGAAGAACCCTAAGGCCAGAAAAGTCAACAGTACGACCATGTACATGCTGACAATCATCCCTCGGACTCTTGTAGGTGCGATTTCCGACAGGAAAAGCGGTGAGATGACAGTGAGACCGCCCGCGCCGAGTCCGCCCCATATCCTGGCAAACAGCAACAATTCGAAGATACCAGAGGAGAAAACCTGCATCAAAATCCCACTGGTCCAAATCACAATCGCGACACGGTAAGACCATAGTCGTCCGATCTTGTCGTTTAGGAAGTATGCGATTAGGGCACCTACTGCAGCACCCAGGACTCCAAAAGAGCTAATATTTGCGGTGCGGTTGGCAAGTCCGGTCGCGTTGTTCTTCCAAGCCGTGCTATTCAAGTTGTAGTCATTCTTGAAGGCAGGCAAAGTTACGCTAGCGCTGAAGCCACCTTCGTCGTAACCTACAGCTGGTATTAGCGGTGTGATTCGAATGACATCTAGAGAAGCTGACCTTTTGGAATGCCACCAAAAGCCAATACCACTACCGCAAAAATATAGAATGGTGGAGGCAGCTTGACCATAGTTTCTCTAGTAGCAATCTTCATATCAGATCAGGATGGCGAAAACCTCGGCGCGTGCAAGGACTGGAAACGGGGGTTTGAAGCAGACCTCTGTGGAAGTACTAAGGCTTTATATGTTGAGTGCTGCCTCAGATTTCCTATTATTATTATTTTGATATTCTGGGGTATGGGGAATTGTGGGGGAGGGATAATTGAGAAACATCGCAATATGCGATGGTATAGCCCCTGTTACGCCATATGCAGGGCAATTCGGTCATCTTCCGATGGTGGAGTGCTAGCTCGGTCAACTTCCGAGCTCTCGAAAACGGCAAAAGTGCGTTCGGTGATCATCCGAATGATCGGTCTGAATACTCTACACAGCATGCCCACAAGATTTGCGTGTTAGTTTGCCTGTACCATGTTTTTCGAAAAGCGTCTGGCTGCCATCCACCTCTCAGCTTGCGCAACTTCCTGGAGGTGAATGGCATTAGCATTGGTATTGAGCTAGCCAAATTGTCTGACTGATCATTAGGCATATTTCAGCCAGAACGGAAGTAAACCGATCGGGCGTTGAACGCGTGAAAGTCCCGCAGTTTTTGATAAGGAGACTGGGGCACGCTATCTGATCCTTGCAAGCTTTGATTTAGTCCTTTCCGCAAACTGATTGCCTTTTCCGGGAACTATACAAGATGATCTCGGTCAATTGCAATGCTAAATTATTTCACTGCCGCTGTAAACTCTCCTTGAATTCGCTCGTGATGGCGGGAAAATCGAGATCATTCAGGATGCGACCCCGGACTATAGATCCCAAGAAAATCGTATATAAATCGCAGTTCCGACGGCGCAAGTAAGTGGCTTCTCGTTTCAGCAGTCATCCATCCATACAGTATGGCTTTCACAAGAATCATCCTCGTTACGGTCTTGTTATCTTGTATCCAGATCTTTGTTACAAACGCCCAACCCTATTTACGGACAGTTGCCCGGTCAGCTAAGTTAGCCCCTAGTATTGCGAACCAGCATGTTGCCTACGATAATAATGCGACAATTGCAAAGCGCATACCAGCGCATAGCTGGGACACCCATATGCATGTAACGGATCCAAATTATCCGGAGGTGGCAGGTGCCGAGTACACGCCCGGCTTGCACAATCTTTCCAACGCCCTGTCGTTCGAATCGACGATTGGTATGAGAAACATTGTCATTGTACAGCCCTCGATATATGGCAACGACAATACTCTCCTTATCAACGCTCTCACGAAACTCGGTACGCGGCACGGTCGCGGCGTCGTAGGCTTCGATGCCAATACAATCTCTTTCGAAACCTTGCGAGAATGGGACAAGCTTGGTGTACGGGGCGTGCGATTGAACATCAAGTCGAACAACATCACGCTCACCAAAGCCCAGCTGCAGGCACAGGTCAAACATTACGCCCAGATAATCAAGCCACTCAACTGGGTCCTTGAGCTGTACATCGGCATGGAAGATTTCCCGAAGCTTGAGCCCATTGTCGCAGACCTCGGTGTCACACTTTCCATCGCCCACTTTGGCGCGCCAAATCTGCCGCCTCCTGAGAATAGAACTATACCCTTCGATCCGTATAGCCTCGTTGGCTTCCAATCTCTGGTCAACCTATTGAAAGGCGGCAATACATACCTTAAGTTCTCTGGCGCCTATCGGTTCGACAAGGATCCGGAGTATGGCGGAGTCGAGGGTATTGCACGCGAGTTGTTGAAGTTTGCAGGGGACAGGATTATTTTCGCGTCAGATTGGCCGCACACTAGATTTGAAGGGTTAGACATCAGACCTTTTGTTGAGAAGGTACTGGATTGGACGGAAGAGACGAACTTGAAGGAGAAAGTGTTCAGTAGGAATGCCCATGTACTTTGGGACATTCCCCTTCCTAGATAGGAGATATTTGAACAAACAAATCAACTCCTCTTGCATGACAGCCAGTGTACAGACCCATGTCGATTCAAGGGCCAATCGCTCAACGTGAATACTCCAAGTCAGGAATGTCTGATTCATGGTAATTTGCACACAATAGGCATCCGGCAGGAGACTTCTCTAAACTGGAGATGACTAGACAAGTCGTGATATGTTCACCAACGGCTTGGCAACTGGACTGATACAACTGGACGCGTTATTTGTGATCAAACAGGTAGTGCTGACTGCCTAAAACGCATCGTGATCGCACGACGTCGTTGCACGCTTCGGTACGGTGAAGTGGTGTTTATAGATTCTGCTATCTACCATGTTCATTGATCTTGTGGTATATAGCTAAGTGCAGCTTTTTCTCATTGAGGCGGTGCATCCTCAGTGTCATCAGGCTGCGACGATTGTTTTTTCTGGAACCACAGTGAATCACCCTCTGAGCGAAGTCTGTGCGTAGCCAAGCTCCTTACCGTACTTACTAACGGCGAGCCCCGGACCTCAAGCTCCCACTCCCCAATCCCCAAAGTGTTTACCATCTCGGTCAACGTCCGAGCCAGCACGAGCCACCATCTCCAGTTACATTTACTAGTTCCAACAAGCTAATGATGCTAGCACCCGTTTTGCGCGTCTTGGACTTCGGACATGTTCCGAAGTAGCTGCGACAGGTATGCTCAGAATCGAGTGGGAGCGCTGGCGCTGTGGCTCAGAGACATCTGCACACTGCCCCAAGCTTTGACGCCCAATGTCCTTGAAGGCGCATAGATATACGTTGTGCAACCCGTTGGTCTATCAGGGACGGAAAGAAATCTAGAGAGTCGAATACGACACGAAACCCCGTATGAGAAACTAAAACCATGAAACATGCGCCGCACTCAGTTGGCATCAGCATCATAGCAGGCGGCCTGGCTGGCGCATCGGAAACCTTTGTCACAGTTAGTTGTGCCTCCCCTCCGTGTCGCGCATATTGCAATTCTCGTATTCACCGCCAGGTAAAAGCTTACCGTGTTAACAGTACCCAGCTGAGTTCATCAAAACCCGCCGTCAACTTGATTCCTCCTCATCCGGCCGAAAATCCCCATCATCTTTTGCCATCCTCAGATCCACACTGCAAGATTCTGGTACGATAGGCGTATACGCTGGATGTCAAACTCTCGCGATAAGCAATGCGCTCAAAAGCGGCGTTCGCTTCTTCTCCTTCGAGACCGCGAAAAGAAACTTAACACCCTACTTTTCCTCTTCGACTATGAGGGATGGATCTGCGGTACGCAATCCCTGGCTCGACCTCACGTCAGGGCTTTGCGCTGGAGCTACGGAAAGTGTGCTCGTTGTTACACCGGGTGAGGCATTGAAGACCAGAGTCATACACGATGCTGCATCAGGAGGCCATTTGGGACGGCTTTCTACGTCGCAGCTAGTGGCGCATACAGTACGACAAGACGGAGTGCTCTCTTTATGGAGGGGTCTTACGCCAGTGCTGTGTAAGCAGGGTACAAACAGCGCTGTGCGCTTTACGGCTTTTGGCGTACTCAAAGATAGGTTGGGAGAAGTGTTACCAGAAAATGTGGATGGCACGACAACCACCCTAATCGCAGGAGCTGGTAGTGGCATCATGACAGTGTAAGTGTCTGATATCTGTTGTTCTCATGTAAAGGCTGATGATGTATAGCTATGCGTCGATGCCATTTGATAATATCAAAACTAGAATGCAGAGTATTGGAAGTCACAGACGTAGTATGATTTCGGCTGCAACAAACATGTTGATAACTGGAGGTTTGTTTGTCTTTTGGAAGGCTACCACGCCGAGGCTCGTGAGACTAACAGTAAGCACTTGTCGTCTGTGGTTTGATCATGATGAGCGATTCGCTAATGGTGTGCAACAGCTGTCAAGTAGCATCACGTTCATGATGTATGACTACACTCTCAACCTCTTTGACGTTCTTTCTGCGAAACCGAATAAAACAGATTCAATCTGAATAACCTTCAAGCGTAGCGATGATTTCTATGAGCGGAGAGATTCTGGCTTAATCATTTATTTTGATAATTGACGCATGAGATGGATTGCTTAAGGATACCAATAGTAACAAGATCTGTGTTTTCGTACGAGGCTGGCTTCGTACAATCGAGCAAAGACCACAGTACTGATGGCACCAATCCAATGGCCAACCCTAGATGAAGAATAGACATACCAACCAGCAGCTTTTCATCGCATGCAAACTGCACGTCTGACACCTTCGCTCTCAATATAAGAAATTATCATACATAATGCTAAATCGAATAACAACGAAAGAGGTAAACTACAATCCGATAAGCATATATATATCCACGTTACACTATGTATATCCAACTTCAATCCTAGCATATAGGAAGAAAGGCGGCCAGCTCGCTTGCCAGATGTTTTGAGACTTCCTTTTGCCTTGTTTTAATTCCCTCAATATTGTTCTTGTACTCCTATAATCTACGCATATTGCTAGCAAGACGATCAACAGCTATATGGAAGCCGAAAGGGACTGGCCAAGTCTTGCGCCCGTCGTTCGCATACATACTTCCATCATTTTGAGGTAAGACAACTAGCCATCAGTACCAACGACAAAAGCATTTTAAGTGGTGCAATTCCCATAGTGGCTGCAAGGTCTTGTGCCTGAAAAGCCTCAGTCCGGAAAAGACTGGCCCTAATCCTGGTGATTGATTAAGAAGAAGTCAACACCTGGATAATGCAAGGCATGTGCAAACTTCTAGAATGACAACACCTTGCTGGGCATGGGAAAGGTGAAAGATTCGTGTTAGGATTGAACGTGGATCGAGCCTCAATATCCTACCTGGCGAGGCAAAGTGCTGAGATAGGAGCAGTTCCCATACTAAACCGGCGAATTCTTGGTCCCATATCATGAAAATACCTGGCAGGTACGAGAAATAATGTAAAGTGAGATTTCCACGCCGATAGGTTCCGCTTTAGAAGAGTGAGAAATCTTCGGTCTCATATAACCTCAATTCGGTGGCTGTCTCAATAAGTTCGTTCTCTACTAACAAAACAACTCTGGCTAGAACTTTATATCGCAGCAACATTGGGACGTAGTTATTAATCTAGACGGTGTAACCACTATATCCTAGTGGCTGTCATGTTATTATCACACAAGTTCAGAAGTAGAGCCTTGATCTGAGGCCTTCCTCGCATCGCTCCGCGGAGCCCCTTAGCACGACGTCGCGATTTATGACCACGAATCAGCCGTTTAACCCCAAGTAAGTATGAACAAGAGACTGTCCGGCCGTATCCGCAAGCATCACTCTTGGGCGAGTCATAACTGGGGCTGCGCGATCATAGAGCCGAAAAAAAACAGGGTGCTACGCACGGCACACGCATGAGCTCAGACCTGTCTGCGCGTTAGCCCTATTACCGTCTCATGCCTCGACATCGAATCAAGCTTTAGTGCGCGGGTTGATGTCAAGGCGCCACAGGGGAGGCCGCGGGAATGTGAGGTAAAGGGGACAGCCACCCGACGCATCCACGAATTAAACAACAGACTGGTCAGGAGACATTCGCGAATGCATTGCGCTCTATCCCTGACGAAATCACCAGTGCTTAGCTAACTTACTCAGTCCGTACACCGATCCAACTACCGTGGGCTGGCGTCATCAAGCTAATTGGACCCCGGGACAACCCCAAACTCTCTTGCCACTCCCCGCACTTTCTCCAAAGGCTACTACGACCAAAGCGGTTTTGATCCCCGGCTTAGGATATGATTCTGGCACGGACTTATTGGTCCAACGTTGTAATTCCATGTGTTAGTGCTGAGGTACGGCACAATGTGGGGCATATGAGAAACATAGTTTGCAACGAACTCCCTCGCTTGGTAGACCGGACGAGTCAAGGCTCATTGTCTTCATACACGGAGAAGCGACGCGGCATGATCTTAAAGACAGCATGGTATGAAAGAGAGAAGGGTCTTGAAGACAGAAGGGTGTGTGCTCACGCTGACATTGAGCGTCAGAATATTCAGTCAGTCGCCCCCGACACGAAGCTCTCCCCGCGCGAATCTCGCAACGTTTGTAAAACCTCGAGGCAATGGCTCTCAAGCCCGGGGATCCCGGATATATGGAGCAAGATGTCAGTCCTACGCTATACTCCATTACGTTTTCCTGTCTCGGATTCGCGCTTCTGATAGTCACCCTCCGGTAAGAAATCACTCATTGTTTGCCCTTGGTGAATTCCTTGCTGACTTCAGCCCAGACTCTTTAGCCGCTTGTATATTTTGAAAACTACGCGCTTGAACTTAGCGGAATGGCTTGTCGTTGTCTCATCCGTGGATATTGCATCATGTGTGTTGATTCATTTTCAAATCGTGACTGGTATGGGTAAGCATATTGAATACTCGCGCGCAAGACCAAAAATGTTGGAAGCGAGCATGAAGGTTGGATTAGCACAGAACTCCGTGTATCAGGCACTTGTCGGGTAAATCTATACACGTCTACGAATCGTTTAGAAGATGTATTGCTAATCAGTGAGCATAGGTTGATTAAAGCCAGTATGCTCGCTCAATTACACCTACTTGCCGCGCCTGGTATGCAAAAAAAGGTCGAATTTTGGACTGGCTGCTTAGTATGTATCTTTACGATCTTTACTACTTTCGTAAGTATCATGTCTGTTTTGAATCAAAAGTGGTTGACTATTGAAACTTTATAGGCTGCAATTTTTCAGTGTATACCAATGAGCGCTGCTTGGAGTATTGACACATTTCCACGCGTGAGTAAGGCCCCTGAGATGCGAATGTATGCTGACATGACTTAGGGCTGCTGGAATATGATGGCTATGAACTTTTTTACATCAACAGTTAACACAATCTTCGACTTTATTATCTTCTTTCTACCTCTACCAACCCTCCTCGGTCTAAAAATGAAGAGGAAGAAAAAAGGTAAGTATTCTAGACCCCAACGGCTTCACGTTTCCTGACAAGAAAGTAGTTTCCTTAATCTTTACCTACTGCGCAGGGTCTCTGGCTATCGCATGCTCCATCGTTCGATTACGTAACATGATATACTTTCGAGGAGTCGGAGATTTTACCTACCATGCTTCTATGGTACCAGTGTGGGGTGCTATTGAGTGCAATGCTGGAATAGTTTGTGGTATTGTCGATCAAAATTCCTTTGGAGTCTCATAAAATGTAGTACTGATTGATTTGTAGGATCATTTCCATATATCATGCCCCTCATCAAGCGTATGAGTGGCAGTATCGTTGACAGCATTGGCGTCTCACGTGCCAATCCAACCTTGAATCAGCAACATGACGGGCAGCACTCAAAGCAACTGAGCTGGCCGTTACAATCGAAACGCCAATCTCGATGGCATCAGATGGACTCAGAATCTATCGAGGCAATCACAGAAAACAGCGGATGGAAGGAATTGGATCATATCAAGAAAACCCAGCATCATGTCGAGCACTCTGTACCTGTCGAGCACACTCCACATATCCCAACTCTACCCTACGATACTCTGTGATTTAATTGGTTAATCCTATAAATACTAGCCACAGGTGCACCCATCAACATTACTAAATGACTATTTTTCGAATTAGGGATTGAGCTTTGCTCATCACAAACTCGGAGTTCAATCATTAAGTAATTTGTGATCTAGTCTTAAATTCATCCCATTGTCTTAACGACGAATTCTTGCTTAAATATCCGATTTTAGTAGATTAGAATATAGTCTACATTTCTTCTTTAAGAAATGATAAACTCACAAGCTTGATACGAAATAGAGAATCGAATTTACCCTAAGTAGTAAAAGAGAATAGTAAAGTAAATATATAGGCTTTAATCTCTGGCATTTATAGTATGTTACCCTGATAAGGTCTCTACGCTTCGAGGCTGGCGTTTGAAAGCGGTCGCTTTAATCTACTATTTACTTTTCACTATTGAATGTCTGTAGCCACCAGAACGTGCTGAAAGAGTGACTTAATAGGGTAGGCACTTATATCTATACTTTACAAACTTTAAGCAAAGTGAATATATAGGTGTTCATTAGTCCAGCTTCACGAGCTATTAGCAACGTGAGTACGTAAATACTTACTACTACCTCTTTACGCGTAATTATTTTGTATATAGAGTTATACTATACTTCTCTACGTGGCCGCTTCTATAGCTATATAACTCTACGTATCTATCATATTACCTCTTTAGAGATAAGTAGCCCTCGGCCACAAATTCATCCTACTTTCACTGCATCTCCAACGCCTGCTTCGTAGGCATTTGTAGCTAATTATTCTTAACCACTTCTACTTAGCAAAGGTTATTAACCACCCCTATAACAAGTAAACGTCACCCCTATAAGACAGGAGTTAGTATTAGTATAACACCTTTTCTATGTTAAAAAACATAATTAGTATTGGTACACTCTTCACTATCTAGCGTAATAATTTACTCTCTTTTCTCTCTCTCTTCTTTCTTCTCTTTTTTCTCTTTCTTTTCTCCTTTTTTACTTCTCTCTTCTCTTACGTCTTATTTCTCTTACTTTTTCTTTCTTTCTTTTCTTTATCAAAATTAGAAGAAAGAGAGATAAGTAAGAGAGTAAGAAGAAAAAAGCGTAATAAGAAGAGAAGAAAATTATTTTCTCTCTTTTTTTACTTTACAGGAATATAATAGAATAAACTTCCTTAGGTAACAGAAAAAGATAGGCATGGAACTGCTTATTGGGGTGACTTTTACTTATTATGGGGGTGGTCAATAACCTTTGCCCTTCTACCTGTCCAAACGCTAAGCCTGTCTTTTTGAAAAAGACGGCTCCTTTATCACCTTGTATTAGTTAGAAGGGGTTTGATATGATAGTAAAATAAGCCTTGCCTCTAGCTGTATTTATAAGATTATTTAAGGTAGGTGAAAGAAGGTAGTGGCTATTGTACTATGACGAAGACATTGATCAGCCACTCAGTAGGTGAAGTAATAGGCACGTGATCTTCCCAGTTTTCTCTCAACGTCTGATTATAGGAATAGGATGAGAGCCCCCAGAATCCTAGTCTGCGATAGGTTTTCTGCGTCTGGCTGAGGCTTCCATCTTCTTTTGCTTGCGCCAAAATAAGACCGTTGCTTGCACCTAATCCAGCCATCTCCTCGCTATAGTTGAAGGCAACAAGGGTCGCTTCCTGCTACTCAAAGTTATACTCTCGTGCATCTGGAGTTATTGATAGATTGACGTCAAGGAAATTTTCGCCTTCAATGTCTGCTTTACGCCATCTGCATTTGCCAGTGCGTACAGGATGCTCATCTGCATCTTGTTCGTATGTCTTCCATTCCACACTCATAGAATGCCCTTCCATTGAAAGCACAGCATTGCGTACAGCGCCAAATCGAGCCACAGGATTGTCCAAGCTAAACTCGATTAAATGGATTTCGACGGGACAGGTGCATCTCGCACCAGTTCTGACAGGCCCTTGAATGGAGACCCACGACCAAGATGGCCCCTGGTACTCAGTCGGGCGATCCAAGAGCACATCCCCAACATTCCAATACAGTGGCTCTGCGGGCATGTTACTTTCCGAAGTCCAGCGACGTATCTCTGGCCTTTTGAAATCAATGGTGCAAATCTGTCCGCTATGCCCGCCAAAGCCACAGACCTATCTTTAGCTTCGGCGAAGGAACGCGAAGTATATCTAGTCACGATCCACTCCCATCTTTGCGCAATGTACAGGTCGGAGGGTTGTGCAGGCTAGTGATTATGGCTAGCATTCGGATTGGCCGAGAAGAACATAACAGCTTCTGTCCTTTGTACTGCACGGATCTCCGCTGCGTTCTCATGATCAGCAGCAAATGGCCATGTAACATCCATTCAGCGGTCTCTGCAGAAAGGATCTCGTGTTAAAGAAGGAAGGTTCAAATCCCAACCATCGCTGTGGAGGTGCCTCTCCGTTCTACAAGACCATGATGTCTGCCAACTTCCGAACATGACCACGTAGCGGGACAAAACGTACTTCTGTGTTGCCCAGACTGTGGTGTCGAGTGTTGCTTTGCCATCAATGTCTAGTGCAGCTCTAAATGTGAGATCGACAAAATTGTTTGTTTCTCTTTCTCAACTCAGTCAACTTGTTCCAAAGGGAAGGGTGCGTCATTGCAAGAACCCTTCATTGACACTCTTACCTCGCCGAACCATGATGGTGAGCTTAGCATGGGTATAAATCTTAGCCATAATCCGATTTGGATCGCTTTCTTGTCGTCCCCTGCGTCCTGTATAATACATAGGGAGTCAACCCACAGGTACTGGACGCCTAGACGATGAGTGGTTTCGAGGGCGTCCCGTATGGTAGCAGGTAGATCGCGCCAAGTAATTGACTCCTGGTAGAACTCGATGTTGTTCTGGCTCAATTGCATTGGTTGAGGACCTCCCCAACAGTAAGTTAAGGCTGCGTATGTCTTTCGTTGTGGGTTGAAACTAGAAACAAGTCTAAGCTTTAGTCCTGATCCAGAAGCACATGTGGTCATTTCGATCAGCTGAGTAGGGATAGACGCCCTCTCGGATATGGGGCACAACTTGTGCGTACTTAGACAGCTATCTCCGCAGTCTTCCAACCATTTTTGTATACTGGGAGGCGTGCGCTCAGAAAATGGGTCTGCTGCAATCGGTCAGACGCTCCTGACAGAGTTGTTTGTCGCTACGTCACTAGTCAACTCACCGTCATTCTAGACATAGAGCAAAAGAGCAACGTACAACTTTCAGCTGTGAGATGGAAATTGGCATCGTAGCCCTCCATGAAGTTGCTGCAAAAGAGAAGTGCGAGATAGCAACGATCGTACTAACTAGGCTCAGGGGCTTGGTATCCACAAATTGCGTTGCCCAGGATAGTAGCGATATCCGCGATATTAGTACTGACGTAGCTCGCTGCGTCACCACGCAGACTAGGTCTTTCAGAAAGACGAAGTAGTACTTCAAAAAGATCATTTCTACTCTAACAACACAGCAAACGATCAAGATCCAGTTCACTATCCAACTTCTCGTGCATTCTAGACCATAAGGCTTCCGCAAAACCACAGCCTGCGCTTGATTTCTTTATAGGTCTGTTACAGAGAGACCTAAGTCGCGCATTTCACGAGTAGAGTTGACGAAGGACATCGCCTCGATCGATCACAACCATTTACCAACAAAGCTAACACGTCAATTAAGTAGCTTCCCTAAAAGCAAAAATATCTTCGCAGTAAGAAAATATATGAGCCCGGAGATATTCCGGCTGTGTTAGGGCTACCATAAAAGTAGTATAACGGTGTTTATTACGTTTGCCTAGAAGATTAGTATGTAGAAGACTCTAGTAAACACAGAAAGCAAAAAAACGTATGAGAAATATTCAGATCTGTTAACGGCAGTCAAAGATAGGGGAAGACGATTGAGAGGCTTGGAGGCTACGGGGGGTGAAGAAATTAGGTGTCCGGCTAATTTTAAAATATGATCATGCCATGCGTCGGGCTGTCGCCACCCCCCGCATACCTATTACGCGATTGGGACTACTATACATGCTAGCAATAGATAGAGATACCTTGAGGAGTGCAATAGCTTCCTCGAAAAGAGATTGGAATAGACGATAGTAAGGAACAAAATTATTCATCCTAAGATTGTGTCCACTCCTTAACTAAAGCTGCGTTTATTGTAGGGAAGAGTATAGCTGGGATGCCGCCACCTAGGGTTTTCCGCCACACGTGGAGAGATAGTATAGCCCAACCCCATGGAACATATTGCTCTGCCCTTAGCCCTGCTCCCTACTTTTCAATGCGAATTTGGTTTACATTTTGAAAAGCAGCTAAGATTGGGGTAGTTCGGATCATTGCAACAGGCGTATGCGCCAAGTAAACATCATGTAGATCCTGGAGCAGCATGATTGCCTGGGACACAGCCGTGATTATTATCTTCGCAAATTGCATCTTTTGCACCGCTGAAACGACAGCAGTGGCATTCTGCATTAACTAAAGGCATTTGAATGATAAGAAGTGAGGTAAGGATAAGGTGTGCTGAGATTAATAACCGGACCATGACTTCCAAAGATCTTCTATAACGTTCAAGATAACGGTATGGTAGAGAGATAGAGTAGAGTATAGATAAGTCGTAGAGGAGTATCTGATAGATAGAGTATAATAGAAGAGAATGGGAGTAGCTTTATAGGAATTGGTAATGGTGCATAAAGGAGGCTGACTGCTACGCTGCGTACCCGTGCTAAGGCTTAGCTTATAACTAGTAAGCTAAGTCAGCCATTCTAACACCTTCTATAGGCGTGTGTTCACACCTTAAGGAACTAATATTAGTAATTTTATTAGTTAATAAACTCTAGATAATAAACTTTTCTTAGATTCTAGCTATATAGCTATATTTTATTATAATAAGGATAGAACTATAAGAAAAAAGACATAGATAGGATAAAGTTAAAAGGTATTATAAGGAATAAGTAAGATACTATCATTAATAAGAGGTAAGAGGGTAGAAAGCCTATAGATATATACGTTAGAAAGTAATAGATATTATAAAGCTTAAGGTTATATACTTTACTATTGTACTAAGATAAGATATCTTATTAATCTTAAAATAGTAATAAGTGTTAGAATAATATATTATCTCTAATATTCTATAAAAATATAAATAGATATAATAAATAGTATAATAGAACAAGAAGTAATAAGAATATAAAAATAGATAGATTTTATTATTACTCTTATTATAGTTAACTTAAATTATACTTTCTT